CCGAGGAGGAGCACAGCGCGGAGGAGCGTGCCACCAGCAGCGTGCTCGATGCCGCCAGCGCGACCCTGCGAGCGGTGGAGGCGGCCCGCGAGTGGTGGGCTGGCGTCGCCGACAACCACTGCAAGGACCTCCCCGCTAAGGACGACCACTGCTGGAACGGCGTGCGAGTTGCTCCGTAAGTCGAGTTTTCTTTTTTCTTTTTTCTTTTTTCTTTCTTTCTTTTTCGTTTTCGTTTTTTTTTTTTCATGAGTAGTAAGGTGGTTTTTATTATTATTATTTTATCTCTCTCATCGTCTTTCACGAGTATTAACGTATTTTTTTTATTATTATTTTATCTTTCTCATCGTCTTTTACTAGAAGTAACGTATTTTTTATTATTATTTTATCTTTCTCATCGTCTTTCATGAGTAGTAACGTATTATTTTTTTATTATTATTTTATCTTTTTTCATCGTCTTCCACGAGTAGTAACGTATTTTTTTATTATTTTATCTTTTTTTCATCGTCTTCCACGAGTAGTAACGTATTTTTATTATTATTATTTTATCTTTTTTTCATCGTCTTTCATGAGTAGTTGTAGCGCGTTGTAGGAATTTGCGCGAGGGTCTTCCACCTTCCCTGCGTGGAACCTCCCTCGTGCCGGATATCTGTAAGCAGTCTACGTGCGGATTATTGGCCCGTCTGCACCGAGATTAAGACAGCCAGCCGCGGAAATTGGGCGCAGAGCGGGCGGGGCTGTGAGAGCCTCTGCCCCGGGGCCTTCCTTGAACTCGTTACTGAATTTCCATTAACGTCTGCATGTTAAGAGCGACATGCGAAGTGCTGGGACATCAAGCCTCCTCTCTCTGGCTCCTCTCTTCTCCCTTTCCTCTCTTCTCCCTCGATCTTCTCTCTTCTCCTTGCCCCCCTCTCCTCCCTTCTCCCTTGATCCTCTTCTCCCTTGATCTTCTCTCTTCTCCTTGCCCCCCTCTCCTCTCTTCTCCTTCGATCTTTTTTCCTCCCTCTATTCTCTCCTTTCCTCTCCTTGCCCGTTCTCCTCTCCCTGCCTCCTCTCTTTTCCCTCTTCTGTCCTTTTTCTCCCTGTCCCCTTTCCATCTTCTCTCCTCACCTTGCTCCCTTTCCTCTCTTTTCCTCTCACTGCCCCCTCTCCTCTCTTCCCCTTGCCTCCTCTCCTCTCCCTCTCCTCTCCTCTCCCCTCCCCTCCCCTCCCCTCCCCTCCTCTTCGCTTGCGTCCCTGCCGGCGTGGAGCGACCGTGAAGTGAAATGTGGGTAGATAACCCCGTAGAGTTGTGTCTCGCGAAAGATTTTTTCCACCACTTTGCTCTCGAGTTTTCGCATTTGATTAGATTTTTTTTTTATCATTTTGTTTATATATGTATTCAAAAACTTTTTTTTTTTTACTTGTAATCCCAAAATTAAATTCATGTTATGATCATTTTTCCCTCTCGGATTTTTTTTACTTCCGAGTTTCATTCCTGCGGCGCCGCGGATGCACCCATTCCAAGATGGCGCCCGGTTCTCGAATGCAAGTTGCGTTACGAGACCCATATCGCCGAGGGTCTGAGGGAACGGCTGCCTACGGTGACCCAGTAATTAGCGTTAGTTCCCGTGCTCCAATTTAACGCATCGGTTCCAGTTGTATTCACAAGCGAATCATTTCAACATCTCGCCATGCATTCGTTAGCATGTAATTAACCCCCCCCCTTCCCCCCCGACCCTCCCACTCCCTCCACTCGACAAGGCAGGGAGGGAGGGAGAGAGGAGGGGGAGGAGAAGGAGGAGGTGGGGGGAGAAGGAGGAAGAGGAGGAGGAGGTGGGGGGGGAGGAGGAGGAGGGGGGAGGAGGAGGAGGAGGAGGACTAGTTCAAGGGAGGGGCGGAGGGAAGGGGGATAGGGAGGGATGGAGGGGGGGATACGGTTGGACCCGTTTCGGTTTGCTGTGGGTTGAACCAGGTGGGGTGGGGGAGGGGGAAGGGGGGAGAAGGGGATGGGGACTACATGGTTGTGGTTATTTCAGGCTTAATTGTTATTATTTGATTATCATTGTGTCGTTTTTTAATTATTCGCATTTAATTATCAACTTTCTGTATTTCTCATATTTTTTATCATCACAATATTTTCTACTATCGAGTTATCATTAATCTTATCAGTGATAATGTTATTAATCAGCATCACAGTTTATATCTCCTAATTTTCTACTTTTTTCTTACTCTTTATCTTCCATCTCTTTCTCTACCTCCGTCTCCCTCTTCCTCCCCCTCCTTCATAATCTGAATGTCCATCCGTTTATAATTAAAGAAATAATGAAAAAAAAAAAAATATCAAGGCATTTTCTCAATTAAGAAATTCTGAGCTCTCATCTCATTCTTTTTTTTTATTTATTTTTTTTTTTTCCAAGTCGTTTTTACTGCTCTTTTTTTTTTCTTTCTCTCTCTCTCTCTCTCTCTCTCTCTCTCTCTCCTCTCTCTCTCTCTCTCTCTCTCTCTCTCCTCTCTCCTCTCTCTCTCTCTCTCTCTCTCTCTCTCTCTCTCTCTCTCTCTCTCTCTCTCTCTCTCTCTCTCTCTCTCTCTCTCTCTCTTTCCTCACGACTAGAGAGGGGAAAAGAATTCACATCAACCGGAATTCTAAACCTACAACTTGAGCTGCGATCATTCCACGGTGCGAGGGGGGGATGGGGGGAGGGGATAGGTGGAGGAGGAGGTGGAGAGGATATGAGGAGGAGGAGGAGGAGGAGGTAGAGAGGATAGGAGGAGGAGGAGGAGGAGGAGGAGGAGGAGGAGGGGATAGGAGGAGGAGGAGGAGGAGGGGATAGGAGGAGGAGGAGGTGGAGAGAGTAGGAAGAGGAGGGAGAGGGAGAGGAAAGGGGAAGTGAGGGAGAGGGAGAGGAAAGAGGAGGTGAGGGGGAGGGAATGGAGGAGAAGAAAGGAGAAGAGGAGGAGGTGGAGAGGAAGAGAGGAAGGAAGGAAGGAAGGAGAGGAGAAGGAGAAGAAGAGAGAGAGGGAAGAAAAGGGAGAAGGAAGACGAAGGGGGGGTAGGGTAAGGATATATGGGGTAATGAGAATAAGGAGAAAGAGTTGGGAAGGCGAGGGAAGGGCAAAAGGAGAAGACACGAGGGAGATGGAAGATGGTGGATACATAGGAAGAAAGGAGAGAGAAGGGAAAGGATAAGAATACGAGAGAGAAAAGAAAGGGGGGGATTGAGGGAGGAGAGGCGTACTGAAAGGCAAGAAAAGGAAGAGGAAGGTTGATAGTGGGTAAGAGAGGTGAGGGAAGAGGACACGAGAAGAATGATGGACACAGAGAAAAAGATGGAGATATTGGGTATTCATGGGGTGGAGGAAAAAAAGGTGGGAAAAGTAGAAGGTAGAAGAGAGAAGGCAGATGATGATAAAGAAGTAAGGAAAGAGAAAGAGAAGAGGGAAGGTTCATGAGGAAAGCAACCCATCGATGGGGAAAGGAGAGAGAGAGAGAGAGAGAGAGAGAGAGAGAGAGAGAGAGAGAGAGAGAGAGAGAGAGAGAGAGAGAGAGCAGACGGAGAGGGTCATGAGAGGAGGAGAATTAAGGGGAGAAGTGGAGTGCTGAGAGGGTAGGGGGGGGTGAAGTCAGAAAGGGGAATGGGGGGGTGGGGGGTGGGGGTGATGGCGTCTCCTGGGCACGTCCAGGACTGACACCCCGGATGACTGCTTGATCGAAAATCAATTCCCAGCCGATAGATCCCTCCCTACTCCGTCTCTTATCTGTCATACGAATAATTTTTTCCCCTTTTGTTTCTGATTTTCTCTTTCTGGTTTCTGATTTTCTTTGCTTGCTTTTCTCTTTTGCTTTGAATATTCTTTGATTTGTATTTTATGTCCTATTTGTATCTTGCGCCATGTTTATATTTTCTCTTCATCTTTCATATTCCTCCTTTTTTATGACTTTTTATCGTCTTCTCTCATCTACTGTTGCTAACTTTCTATCATTTTTATCTTTCAATTTCACTATCCCCATTTAGCTTTCTATTTACGTTCCTACTTGTTTACTATTTATTACATTCTATCCTATATCATTGTTTCTATCTCTTTCTCTCTCATTCTCTCTTACTCCTTTCACTCTCCTTCCTTTGCCTTCTCTTCCTTGTCCTCTTTCTCATCGTCTTCCTATCTCCTTATCCTTCCTTATCATGTCCTATTTTCTCAACATCTTCATCTTCCTGTTCTCCCAAGACTTGTTTTATTTATTTTTTTTACGCGGTTTTCCTCGCTTTTCCCCTCATTTCTTCTTCCCCTTTTGTCCCCTCGCGGCATCTGTTCCGAGTGTTTCCTCCGCGCTACCTTGTGGTTTACTTCCTCTAGGGGGAGGATGCGTCGTGAGAAATGTAAATCAGTCAATAAATAAATTAAATAATAATGGTAATAATAATAACAAAGATATTGATAATAATAAATGATAATAATAGTAATAATAATAATAATAATAATAATAATAAAGATAATGATAGTAATAAATGATGATCATAATAATAATAATAATAATTAATAATGATAATAATGAAATAATTATAAAATCATTAATAAGGCTATTGTGAATTCTACCACAATGAAAGGTTATTGGGTGTGAATAATTGCAGAGTGATTTGTACCACGGAGCACGATGGTACGGTTGGGAGTGAATAATTCCATAACGAATGGTACCACAGTGGAATAGGTTCTGAATGAGTGAATAATTGCACAGTGGATAATATCAGTGTAGAATTTAAAATGATAGGAGTTTGAGGGAATAATTATGCAAATGACTAATGCTACAATACGAGTTTGTTTAGATGGGAATGGGGGATTTTACTATGCAAAATGTGTTCGTTATCTGCATTGTGGAATTATTGATGTTTATCTGTGCCTTTTTGTGTTCTTTCATTCTTCATTCTTCTATGTAGTTCTTTTTTCCTTCATCCTTCATTCTTCCATTCTCCTTTCTTCATTTTCTTTTTTTCTTTCATCTATTTTCTGATTCCTTCATCCTTCGTATTTCCATTTACCCGTTACCCTCGAAGAAGAAGAAAAAAGAAAAGAAAAAAAGAAATGAAAAAGTAAAAGAGAAAAGAAAAAGAAGACGAGAAAGGCAAAAGAATAAAAGAATAATAAGAAAGGAAAGGTAAATAAAGAGAAAAATCTGCCACGTACTGCAAGGCAAGGCGCGTC